AGAACTTTGTATGAGAACACAAATGATACAAGCAGTACATTGATTGAATTACAGAAGGCTCCCTCTTCCCCCCCGCCCCGGAATAAAATATCCCTTTTCCATTCTGGAGCCACAAGAATTCTTATGTCCTCCAAAACATGGAATGCCCGAAATGATAGAAAGGGCTTATATAGGAAGATGCGGGCCACACCCCACCCCAAACCCTAAGGATTCCCAGCAAGTGGAAAGCACAGGCAGGCTGCAGAGCTTGAGGAGAGAATTGTGGTGCAGGAGGAGACACTAGCATTGCAGTGGAACAGGAATGTTGGTTGAGGGAGGAACATAGAGTGCAACAGAAAGGCCTGTTTGAACAGCTGCTTTCACTAAGGGCTGCTAGACTGCAAGCTCCTGCTGCACCCACTCCATAGCTTGAGTCCCCTCCACAGTACCATGTGATGCAGACAGGAACACTTTGGACAATTCCATGGTTGGGTGGCCCATGCAACTGGAACTTAATTAGGCTTTGTCGACACTACACAGCCTCTAGCGACATGGCTGTGTCGACACGGCCATGTCGCTAAAAGTCGGGCAGTGTAAACACTGTTTGTTGGCACTTCTGCCGTCAGAATACTTCCACCTCCTACGAGTGGGGTTCGCGCTGCCAACAGGAGAGCACTCTTGCTGAGAACGAGCTGTTTATACTACCACTTGCCACAGCAAAACTTTTGTCTTTCAGACAAGGGAAGGCACCTGTGAACGACAAACCTTTTGTTGTTCAATTGGCAGTGTAGACAAAGCCTTAACAGCATCTGGACATGAAAAATCTACCTCCCCCAGTCCAGGCTTCCTTCACCCTGCTGCTGAACCCCTTTCCCAGCAGGCATCTGCACCCATGCAGCCACACCAAGTGCAAGCTAAATACACAAAAAAGGGAAAGGAGAACATGCCAAAAAACATACAAAATTAGAGGATTGCTTTGATGGCACTGTTTTCACCATTCACTGTCTGGTTTATGCACTTTGTTTTATTACTGGTTTTGGTGTTGGTTTATTAGTGTGTTTAGATGTTCTAATGGCAGCTGGCCTGCCTGGGAATGCTTGAATATTTTTTTTAGTAATATAGCCAAATAAGAGCTTTTATTAATTAAGAACATTTACTGCCATCACTACCTCACATCATACAATATATATTTTGAATAAATAAAGATAAACACATGGTACAGCACAACAGGGACAATGTATCCAAATACAATCTCTCAATATATTTCTGTACCACAATCCACAATGTAAATGCACAGCTCCTCACCTTTCATAAACAGTCATCCCCCACAGTACCCCCCACGTCCATTGGATGATGTGACTGTACCTCATGTACTGTAAGTACTGCTGTACAAAAACAATCATAAATGTACTATTCTCCCTCTTTCATTGGTTCATCCAAGTCCACAATGTGGGAGCACAGAATATTCCTGATTTCTGTTGCCCAGGTGCATCCTGCTCCAGCTCTGATTGGTGCACTTTCTGGCTCAGTATACCAGTTCAGCAATCCATTACTGGAATGGGTCCATTCAGGAGCAAATGACTTACCTTTGGCCTCACAAAAATTGTGAAGAGTACAGCAAGCCACAGTAACGCAGACAGCATTGATGACACTGAAATCAAAATGGGTCTGTAGACAGCACCAGCGGGATTTCAGTCTGCCAGATGTACATTGGACCACCATTCTGCACCTCCTGAGTATGTAGCGAAACATTTTTTACCAGGGCCTCTGAGATCAGGGTATGGTTTCATAAGCCAAGGCAAAAGATTGTATGTAGGGTCCCCAGAGTAACAATGGGGACAGTAATTCTGTTTATGACAATGTCATTTGGTGAGAATAGTGTCCCAGACTGTCTATGAATGTGGAGTCCTGACCAGTGGAAAACCCTGGCATCATGAATTTTTCTGGTGCAGCCCACAATGGCATCCATACGTTGGCCTCTCTGGTCCCCGAGGGCTTGCATAACAACAGAGTACCCTTTGTGGTATATGTATACTCGTGCTTCTCGAGGAAGGCAAACTATGGGCACATGAGGGCCATCAATGGCCCTGACACAGTTTGGAAACCTCATTCTCTCAAAATGAGAGAATTTTGAGAACCTCATTCTCTCAGTTACTTCAGGGATATTGTTTACACCCACCACCTTTGGGTAAATCACCTGCCTGGCGGCCTCACAAACATCCACGACCACTTTACCCACAGTTTTACTATTGACTTGGGTGGGGTCAGGATTTCACTCCAGGTGTTTTTTGTTTCTGTTTTTCCCCCAAGTGTGATTTATTGTAATAAACCCAAGTCTGGAGAGGCCGTGTGATTCAGTGGACAGAGCACTGGGCTGTGACTTAGAAGGCCGGGATTCAGCTCCACTACTGACCGGCTGTGTGGCTGTATGCCTTTTTTCTCTTCCTAGCCTTCTTCTGTCTAGTCCATTCTGTCCGTAAACTCTTCTCCCACTGTTCATACAGTGCCTAGCGCAATGGGGCTCCATTCTCTTTGGGGCTCTGGTCCTGATTTGGGAAAGCACTTAACTGTGAATATAAATCTCTCCCTTTTCAGCAAAGCACTTAAGCACATCCTTAGAATTAAGCATCTGCTTAAATCCTTTGCTGAAAAGAGATTTTCTTTCTGAAATGGGGCCTCTAAATGCTACTATAATAGAAATAAGAAATAATAATAATACCTATAAACCTTTCAATCTAAAGGGAAGTTTATGTTATTTAATGGGGACTCCTCCTACTCCCCCAAGACAAGCAAAGCTGGAAGAGGTAGGTAGAAATCTTGGCTATAGTAGGAATTGTCTTTGTTGTTTTCCTTTGAGTTTTCTCTGTGTCTCTGCTCCATTGTGTGTTTTGTCCATTTCCTTTGTATTTATTTTTCACTCTGTTTATTTTTCAGCACTTTGTTTTTTTCACAGGATTTTTTCTCTCTCTGCTGCATTCTGCTCCTTTTCACACAGTCCGGGAAGAAGACAATTGTGTGTGCAAATAGCTGCCTATGTAATCGCCCAATTTGTGCATGCAAATGTATGTTTATGATGTACAAATGGATCTATGTGTACGTTTTGTGACACAGTTTTGAAATTTTGCTCCCAAAAAGGAATAGTTTCAACCCACCTTGGAAATACAGCCACCTCCAAGAGCAAAAGCAGCTTTTTGTCCCAGCAACAATAGATCAGAGTGTTTTTAGGACTGACTTACTTAATTGGAAGTATTAGGAATGTAGAATGTAGCACTGAAAATAGCATACTAAGTGAGACCTAGTATTTAACTTGGGTGTCTGAATAATCCTTTGATATAAAGGAGCGCTGTATTCTTCCTAATAGTTTACTATGAAAGCATTTTTCTAGCAGCGAAACTAAAAAACTAGGTTTAATTATCAGCTCCATTGCCAGCACACCGAGTTCAGCAGGCTGCTCATGTCCTCCAGAGATAACGATGCTCTGCCACACCCAAAGGCTTGCACACAAAGATGCTCATTACAGTGGAAAGATTTGGGTGTACATTTCTCTTTATAGGGCTGTGTCTAACTGAGATAAACCCATGTTTGGGAGTCGGGGTGGGGGGACCTTTGCAAACCAAACTTTGGGAACTGCCGCAGCTTGTTGTATCCCTCTTGCTGGGAGGAGCAGTCTTAATGCTCTCAGTATCCAAGCAGTCCCAGAGAGGAAGGATCTATGCCTTTTTTATTTATTGGGCTTTCTGGGTGGAGCACTGAATGTGAAACATGAAACTGTCCTGCATCCAAGCATAGGTTTAAATTAGGACATGTCAGTAAGTGGATTTCTGCTCTGAGTCGAAACACCACAACCGGCTGTGCTTTGTTCATTGTCAGGAATCTAAGGACGGAATAGGGCTATATCCTCCTGGTGGCGAATCTGTAGGGGGATTTCTCAAAGTTCAGCAGGTCACTGGGCAACATTTCTAATCCCCTTCTATCTGCCAGGCTGGTTTGGTGTTTGTGACTCTGGTTGGTGGAAGGCTGTGATAAGGCTGGTAAGCATTCAGACACATTTATTATCATTATTATTTGTATTATTGTAATCATGGACCGGGACCCTAATGTGTTTGGTAGTATACACACACAACAAAGTGTCAGTCTCTGCCCCAAAGAGCTTACAATCTAAGACAAGAGACAACAGCTGGGGAATGCAAGGAAACAAAGAGACATACTGGTCAGCATGATAGGTGGTGGTCTGTACAGTACACACCAGCAGCCTAACGTCTCTCCCCATATGTTGGTTAGATGGCATATGTGTTACTGGGACAAGATGCTGTGTTTTGGCTGGCAAATAAAGACCTGAAGAAAAACTCTGTGTACGCTTGAGAGCTTGTTTCTTTCACCAACAGAAGTTGGGCCAATAAAAGTTATTACCTCACCCACCTTGTCTCTCAAATAAAGACCTCACTCCCCAGTCTCCACCATCACCAGTGTGTACAAAGATGATCATCCTGACATAAATAGACTGAGTTGGTTACGATACACAGGAACTCTGCACTTAACGTTGTAGTTATGTTCCTGAAAAATGCGACTTTAAGGGAAACAATGTTAAGCGAATCCAATTTCCCCATAAAAATGAATGTAAATGAGGGGGTTAGGTTCCACGGAAATTTTTTTCACCAGACAAAAGACTATATATATGTAAGCAGTGTCAGGATGAGCTCCACCCTGACATCTGGTGGTGAGGTGTGGCAAGTTGTGGAAAAGAACTTCAGGGGCTGATCTCATTTGCATAGGCACACCCACCCCGCCTAGAATGAGGCCATAGATGCCCAAATGGTCACTTTGGCTGCTGTGGGATCCCCAGTGTCTCTGTTATTGGGGCAGGAAGAATAAATTGTTATTACCCTGATTATGGGAACTGTGCTTGGAACTGTACGTGGCCTTTTGTTATGATGGAGGGATTCACCATCAACTAAGTAGCACCCGCTAGGCAAGGGTCATGGGTTCCAAAACTGTGAATTGACAGAGAGGCTGGGGAGAAGTATTAATACTTGGTGGCATGGGCCCCCTGGTGAGGGTCTTACATGCTAATTGCACTTCCTCCTCTCTCTATTGTGTAATATCAGAGCTAATTTTGATTCTGTTAGGAGTCTAGTTAAAGGCTGCTGAGCTCGCTTTGGGCTAATGGTGTACTAGTACTGAGGCTCCCCTACTACAAGCTGAATTCACCAAAGAGCTGAACTGACTAAGAGCTGAAATCACTGAGTGTTGTGTTAAGTAGTGGGGGAGCCTGAAGATATATTGTGGAGCAGTTTGCGGGATGGCTGGAGTGCCTTGTGGATAGGCTGGTGGAGCAATTTGTGGGACGGCGGGAGCTGCTTGTGGGCCGCAGAGCGGAACTGAGCAAAGCAGTTTGTGGGGCGGCTGGTGGAGCGGAGCAGAGCAAAGGCCTATGGAGCTGTGGGGCGGTCAGCTTCAGATCAAGTAAGGTGCCCCTTACCTCTCTCTCCCCCCTCCCCTCCCCCCCCATCTCCACCCAGGTTGGGAGGTAAAGCTCTGCAGATAAGCTTTCTAACTCTGGGGCTGCCCTGACCAGGGACAGAGACTTTTGGGTCATTGGACTTTTGGGACTTTGGGTGATTTGGGGTTGCTGGACTCAAGAACCAAAGGGAAAGGCATGCCCCAAATTTGCTTGGGGTGGGTTTTTGCTCATGGGTTGTGAATCCTGTTGGTGGTGTTTCCCCAACATAATGCCACATTGTTTCTCTCTGTTATTAAAAGGCTTTTTGCTACACTCAGAGTATGTGCTTGCGAGAGGGGAAGTATCGCCTCTTGGAGGCGCCCAGCGGGGGTGGTATATATTTGTCCCAGGTCACGGGGTGGGGGCTCGAGCTGGTTTGCATTGTGTTATTGGAATGGATCCCCTAGATATTGAACCCGGCCCTTGTTGCTGCCAACTCTGATGGGCAGAAGGATTACATATATATACACACACACAGAATATAAGTTTTAAACAAACAGTTTAATACTGGTACACAGTGATGATGATTGTGACGCTTGGTTGAGGTGGAGGAGTCAGAGGGTGGGATATTTCCCAGGGAATGCCTTACTGCCAAATGAACTAGCAATTGACTGAGCCCCCAAGGGTTAACTCGCACACTCTACAAGGCAGCAGGAAAGGAGGGAGGGCAGATAGAGACACAGACACATACCCTGGGTGTGAGAGAAAAAATGCACATTTCCCCTTTAAGTAGCTGACCCCAGGCTTAAGTACACTGCCTTGTTAATTAAATCAGCTTGCTCAGACCTGAGACCATAGCTACTGCCTAGAAGCTCCCTCAGTAGTGTGTCCCCCCTGCTCTATGGAAGATGGGGTAAGCGGGGTGCAGGAGCAGGGGGGAGGGGGAGGCACCCTGACATTAGCCCCCGTCTTCCCTCCTGCCCCATACAGCAAGCAGGAGTCTCTGGGAGCGGCTCCAAGGCAGAGGGCAGGAGCAGCACATGGCAGTGGGGGAGGGACAGCTGCTGCACAGGGAACTTAGGGGAGTGGGGAGCTGATAGGGGGCTGCTGGTCCACCCTAGTTCCAACCACCCACCAGCTAGCTGCAATGGGCTGCTCTTCTTGCAAGCAGTGGACAAAACAGGTGGCTGCCAGATGTTAGAAGGGAGCATTTCACAACTTTAAACCAGCATGTTCCCTAACTGATCAGCAACTTAACATCGAAACAACGTTAACCAGGATGACTTTAAGTGAGGAGTTCCTGTATGTGTGTGTGATGAACTATAGTCACTCTTTTGACATTAGAGAGGGAAAAGAGAAAAGCAAGCAGGGGAGTAGAAACCCGGGGGCTCCAGGTTTTCCCAGAAGGCTGGTAGTGCAAAAGCCTGAGAGAGGCAGAGTAGGAAAAGGCTCAGGGAAATAGCAACAAAGTGGGATGATGCAGGCCTTGATTAGAAGAAGGTCCTTGAGCTGGAAGCTGGAGTAGAGAGTGGGCCTGGGTTCCCCTACCAACCGCTGGGGAAGTGGCACAGTCAGGGCAGTGGATTTGAAAACCTCCAAGGACAATTCTTTCTGTGGGAGTTTGATAACCCAAAAGGGGGGAAACCCATAGTAAGCTGGCTGGAGGACCAAGTCATGAAGACTGAGCACATCAAGAGCGAGAGAGGCTGTGGCAAGAGCAAATGATGGAAGGGGGCGTGAGACCTAGACAGAGCTAATCCCCTGAGCAGACAGGAGGAAGTGGCCTGACAGTAAGTAATGGATCCCTTTACAGTGTGCTTAAATAAAAGGGTCAGAAGGGAAAGCATGGCTATGAGGCCATCATTAATCTTCTCAGTAAGCAGAACCTAATCATGTCCTATAGCAGACAACCTAGAGCATTACATAACAAGCTTGCAGGACTGTCCAACAAGTCCTGATCATTGATACTAACAGTTTAGACCCAATACCAGGATAATACTACACATAATTACAGTGTGACAAGTCTCTATTAAAACAGAATGGAGAACCACAGCAACAGCTATAACCCATCCCTTGTTATCCTGCATCTCTTAATAAAGTAGAATTGAGTAAGGGTTCAATAACATCCAACATTTCATGCCTTTGACTCCATTAATAACACATCCTAGAGGACAACTCAGTGACAGTTGCCACATGTCCCCAAATATAGCACTAAGTTGTCACACAAATGACTATAACAAACGTTCTTGACCCATTTCATTGTAATGTGGATGCACAGTCACTTAGTGATGCAGTCATTTTCAACTGTGTTTCTGGGTGCCTACATGCTGGAATGTGAGACTCCAGATGTTCTGAGTATCATGTGGGATGGATCACATATTTCACAAGCTGCCACCCTGATTACATGGAGACTCTGTGGACACGTCCTTCCAGGAGTGGCTACAATCAATTCCATATTCTTGATGGCTAATGTTGGTCTTGTAATCTTAACAGTGGCTGTGTTGTTGTACAGATGGCTTCACTCAGTTGCATCTTCAGAGGGTGTTGAGCAGTAATTAATCCTTGAGTAGGATGGAGGATCTTTTCTGCAACACGTAGTCTGTGTTTTCACAAATGGTGAGATAGGAGAGTCTATATGGGTGCTGCGATGTGCTAAAAATGCCCCTTTTGGGGGATCCTTTTGAGCTAAAGCAGATGTGTTGTGCCAGGTTCAGAAATCCCTTCTGGGTGTACAGATGCCTCGGGAAAAGCCATATTTTCACATTGCAACCCAGGAAAACAGATGTATCTGGTTCTTATCTCAGATCTACCATGCAGACCTCATGGATGTATATGGTTTACTATTTAACTAAGGTAGATATAAAGTAGGGAAATACAAGTTGTGCTCCCAGGTACATGCCACTCACAATCACCATTTTATCATATGAATGACTTAATGAACTGTATAGAATAACAGCATGAGAGGTTTGGACCAAGAGTTTTAAAACTGGGTGCCTAAAGTTAGGCTTCTAAATCCTCATTTAGGTGCCTAAATAAATGGCCTGATTTTCCAAAGGGTTGAGCACCCAGCAGTTCCCATTTACTGCTATTTATTTAGGCAACTAAATTTGGATTTAGGGGCCTAACTTTATGCACCTGTTTTTGATAATCTTGGTTCTGGTTTAGTGGTGTGAGGATGGGAATGGGAGGAAGGACCACTGAGTTTTACTTCTGGCTCTGACACACTCTCTGTGGCCTTGGGAAAGTCACTTAGGCTCAGATCCTCAAAGGTGTTTAGGTGCCTAACTACCCAGGCCTGTGGAGTGCCATTTAAAGTGGGCTGAGGATTTAGCTTTGCCTGCCCACCTGAACCTCTTCTTTCTCTCGCAGGTGCCCCCCATCAGCACTCTGACCTTCCCTAGTCCATGAGCACCTATGCCATTCCCCTTCCAAATTTAAGTGAGTGGTGTTGCACTCTGACACATGGGGTCACAGTGCCACTCATGTTTGGCCCGGCCAAAAAATGGTTGGATCATGGGCTGGGTGGCCCCCGGGCAGCTCCAAAGCTTATGTTCCTATTGATTTCCATCAGAATTAGGTGCCTAAATACAAATACCTTTGAGAATCTGGGCCTTAACCCCTCTATCTCAGTTAACCCTGACTGGAAAATGATGATGATAACAACACTTACTTGTCTAACTCCAAGAGCTGTTGTGAAGATTAACTGGTCATCTAGTTGAGGGATTTAAAGGTAGAACACTTCAATTCTGCAAGATGTTAAAACCCCTCTTTCCCCACTGAAGGCCATAGGAATTGAGGGTACTCAGCACTTTGTAGGACTAGGTCTGAAAAGCATCAAATACCATTGTCCCTTCCAACAGAAAAGCAGTTTTTAAAATGTAATTAGATTTAACACACATACTGGCTGATCATTCATTTGAATCCCTGTCCTAATTTAGAAAGTATGTTTAGCATACAAGGAAAGCAATAGAATGCACAAGAGCTCAGAGTCAGGAATGCAGCGTGAGCCAAACCATGGAACAGGACAGCTGGCAGGTCCAGGTAAATGTTGGTATTAGATGACTTAAAAGGAGCAGTGTTGGCAGACAATAAAACGTACCTTTGCCTCCTGGTGAAACTGGTGTTTCAAAAGAACCAAAAGCAGGTATTGAAAGAAAATGTTTATTGTGACTGTGTAGATCCGATTGTGACTGTGTAGATTTGATTGCCCAATATTTCATGCCACAATAGGACATTTCTTTTGTGGCAGCATTTACATATTTAATAATGTCACACAATTAGGGTCTGTTTCCCCATTGCATGTGTTAACTAATTTTAACTAAAAGTGGTGTCTTTTCAAATGACAGATGTACACACTCATCATTTCCCCAAAGCATTCATTTTTATAAGTGTCATAGTATTTCATGTGTATCAAGCATCTTGCCTTCTGATGGATTTCTTCACAAACCCTACAAAATGCATCACTGAAATTCAGTTGCATATTGAAATAATTGCCCCAGGTTCCTTAAGACATGAATTCTCAACCTGGGAATTTCAGAGTAACAGCCGTGTTAGTCTGTATTCGCAAAAAGAAAAGGAGTACTTGTGGCACCTTAGAGACTAACCAATTTATTTGAGCATAAGCTTTCGTGAGCTCACGAAAGCTTATGCTCAAATAAATTGGTTAGTCTCTAAGGTGCCACAAGTACTCCTTTTCTTTTTTGAGAACCTGGGGATTGCAATTCTCAGGATGGTCATGAACAAGTGTCAGAGGATCATGGCCACCCTTATCCTTTCCTTATTGCTAACTGGGAGGGGGCTCACAGTGGAGTCTTGGTATGAAAAAGCAGGTCCTAGTGTAGGAAAAGTTGAAAACTACTGCAATGAGAGATTGGGGGAAGGGCAGGGGAGGCCCTTGCTCTAAACACACAACACAAGAATGAGAGGAAAGCCCTGCTCTTACAAAAGCACCATGGGATCTTTAATGTCAGCACAGAGCAGACGGGACCTACGTCCACAATTTCAAACTTGAGTGCCTAAGTTTGGCACCTAAATATGTGGCTTGGTTTTTCAGTAGTGCTGGGCATTTGCAACTGCCTTTTGTTTCAATGAGTGTGCTCAGAATCTCTGAAATTCAGGCTATGGGCCTAAATATGGATTCAGATGCCTAGCTCTAAGGGCCAAAGTTTGAATATATTGTCCTTAGTTTTTAAGGTTTCTTCCGAAAGACACTTACAGTGCAAATGTCTCTGCACTTACTTTACCTACTGTGCATCAGAGACTGATGAACTGAACTTGCTGGGATCTGAACCTGTGGTTCTAGGGAACATAAGCATGCCTAATAAGCTGTTTAGATCAGTAAGCCACTCCTATTGGTGATAGAGCTATATCTCTTAGGTTCTTTTTAAAGATAAACAATATGTAGTCTCAGCAAGAATTATGATTTGACAATGTGATTTATTAAAAATATCACATAAAGGACTATTCACTTCAGCAATAAGATACAAGTATTCCCCACCAATCACTTGAAAGATAGTTTTTCCTTCCATGGGTTCAATATTTATAGACTTTCCCCCCCTCTCTGTTGAATCATTATTACTTGTCTTTCCAGCAGAGAACAGATGATAGTCTGGAAATGTGCATGACATTCAAAGTAATTTTTTCTAGAAGGTGATTAATACAGTGGTGAATATTTTTCAGTTTAGAATCTAATTCAGAATGCATGAGAGCTAAAACTGCTACAGAAAAAAGTGTTAGCTCAAATAATTTTGGAATGATTCTGAACTTCATAGCTGACCAAAGCAATAGTTTTTGCTTGTTTACATGTGAATTTGGAGAAAATGTCTGTCTGAAACTTAAATTAGATCAAATGGTAATTAAAGCAGCCAGGAAATCCGTTGGAAGTTCAAAGGAAAGTACACATTCAATGGAAAGAGTCATAGATTGGGTCTGTATTTAATTATGGCAGATGGTCTGGAGGTGTTGCCGAATGTCATGCAACTTAATCAAATGAATAGATTGCTAGCAGGAACACAAACTGGTTAAATCTAATCAAGAAGGGAAGGCTCAAAAGTTGGTGGGAATGGGTCATTTCCCCCTACCTTGCAAGGGTTAGGTAAAAAAAAAAAAGGGGGTGAAATCCTGTTCCCATTCAAGTCAGCGAGAGTTTTGCCACTGATTTGAATGGGGGCAGAATTTCACCCAATGTCTCCTTGGAAGAAGAAGTATCTTTGCTTTCCCGAGTGATAAGATGCTCTTCATGTCTTATCTCTAGGCTGATAACAGCAATATGTTTTCGTCTTAAAACCACAGTTCAAGAAATCACTTAAGCACATGCTTTAGTCGATCCCTATTCAAGAAAGCACTTACACAGCTCTACGCACATGCTTAAGCACTTTCTTGAACAGGGATGCTTTTGTGAATTAGAGCCTCAGATTGAACTGAAATAGGGCTATATATGTAGCTGATTTACTTTTCATTTGTATTGTTTCTATCACAATACATAAACTTGTTTGTGTAGACAACTGTAGAGTAAATGCTGTTGTTATTGCTGACTGGGTGTAATCTGAAGGTACATTTTAAGGAGAGCTAACTGACAGAGACATTGCCTACTTGAATCACAATCTAAAATGAACACAGTCTCTGTAGGCTTGAGAGCTACAGTCTCTGAATTGGAACAGACTGACAGAGTCACGCTCGCCAAACAGAGTCCAAAAAGCCTCTCTTAGAAGCAAAGACAGCTCTGGTGACTGTACAGAAGGGGAACAAGTTAAGGGTCCATAGAAGTCAGACTGCACTGTGAGGGCCAGTGTTGACAGAGCATAGAAGAATGGATGATCATGAGAACGATCTCTGGGATTACCGGTCTGTCATTATAGCATCTGAGCACATCCCAAAGTCCCCGGGTGAAATGCTGGCCTCACTGAAGTCAGTGGGAATTTTGCCATTGACTTCAGTGAGGCCAGGATTTTACCACAAATGTCTGATTACTGCATAAAACACAACGTAATGTAAGTAAGCTTTGTTTTTAAACAAAAAGAAAAAAAGAGGGGCGGGGGAACTTCAGCAATGTAATTGCAAACTACAACCCACAAGAGGAATTTTGTGTGTGACTGCTCTACAGGTTTATGGATAAAGTTTTACCTTTTCCTGTGGGAATGCCATGGAGTGATGCAATGTCCTAGATGGCTGGAGTCTTGGCACATATGACTTGTGATTTGGCACACACATTCAGAGGAAAAGAAGTGACTTTATTTACACAGCAAACATGCAATAGTTCTTTTCTTTCCACAGCTCTCAGCTGCTTTTAGATATTGACTGAAAGATCACTCTTTCAATGGAATTCAGCGCAAAGCACTTTGCACAGTAACTGGCCATGGAAAGAAGCTCTTTGGCAAGATATAAAGAGACTAGACTATGTCCAGGCAGTAACAAACCCTACATGGGAGATTCAGAATTATTCTCCTCTTGAAACACAGATAAAGTGACTGAAAACTCTTCTTCACACATGTGGACAGGAAGCAAACTCTATAGAAGAATCAGAGGAGCCATTAACGATGCCTGGAAGCCTTTAAAAAACAGTCCTGACTGCTCTAGAGGTATGGTACTCAAGGAGTTAATTCAAGTTGGGACAAAATGATCCCTTATAAGCATACCTGCATATGGCTTAAATCTGTGCATTCCTACTTAGCCTGCATTTTATGAGGCAGTCCAATGACCTACAAATCCCGAACTTTGGGTCTACTCCTGTTCTATTGAAATTAATGGGAATTTGGAGTCATATTACAATAGAAATGTGTGGGAATGGCAGTATATGGCAACCTAGTTTAGTGGGAATGACACTGGGGTATGGTCAAGGAGATGCAATAGTGTGAGGACAGGAGGACGTGGCAGCACACTGAGCATGGTAGATACATTTGCCTGGCATCTTTGAGTAGGGTAGGATCTTCCTTAGTTGAGACATTTGAGATCATGTAACTTGGGGGCGGGAGAGAACCAAACCAATCAGGCCTTCTTTACACTTCAGAAAGGAGCAAAGAAAGGGCTTAAGTCATAGGATCATAGAGTTTAAGACCATAAGGGACCACCAGATCATCTAGACTGACCTGCTGTTTATCACAAGCCAATAAATGCTACCCAGCCACCTCTCACACCAACCAGAATTAGACTAGCTCTCAGGAGACTAAACTTCTGTGTGCCACAGGCAGAGGAAAGCTAAGGTACACCCATGTCCAAGTCCCCTGCAATGGTAGGGAATTGATTAAGTGAGATACAATCAGAGAGCCGCTCCCACACTTTTCCCCTTCCTTCCAAATTACCTTTAAGAACTAATAATGAAATAAACCTGGGTCTTTTAGCATTTTTTTTCTAGTGGGGGCCCAAGTCTCCAAAGTGAAATAAAATAAGGGCTTAGTGATCATAAATTATTATGGTTTAAGCTGTATTGATTAAACTGATATTACTATATTGATACTTTATATGTCTGAGGAGAGAGCCCAGTACTTTCAATCATCAATGAAATCCTTCAGTGAGAGAGATGGGGAAAACAACTAACATCCCTGTCAATAATAGCAGCTGTAATGCAATAAATGACAGAGTTTAGAGTCCTGGGCCTCCAAAATGCCTCCTGTCCTACAAGTAAAATTCCACTGGATAACACAGAGTTCTTATAAAATTAAGACCCTCTCTTCCTGTAGGACAGGAGGGATTTTAAAGAGTGAAAGACATATTACCTATTTTGTCCCCAGTTTCCAGTTTATGAATAATGCTTCCTTATTAACTCATACTTTGATATAGAAGATGGTGGTGATAATGGGGAACATGGAAATGCTCCATGTCAGTATAATTGGTCACCAACTTCCTGCTTATGTATAATGATGTCACCAACTTCCTGCTTATGTATAATGATGTATAATGTATCATTGAATCATATTTTGATACAGAGGGAGTGGGATGTTTGGGAAAACATTTCAGCAGTCTAATTATCAACTCTATTATAATGCCTCTCTTTATGAAACTCATTAAAGCATTCCATGCAGTTTTCTCCAGCAGAACAATTAAAAAACAAACAAACAAACAAGACCTAGATTTTTTACATATAAACAGACGCAGACAAAATGAGGTTCAGGAAACTGTATATAGATTAGTATAACTGGAGTTACTTGTACTGCCTGGGCAGTCTGAGTAATATGAGGAAGAGGACATACAAGATGGCATGTAGGATCAGGTTAATCTGGATGATGATAATAAGGGAGTCATTAGACTATGAAGTGCTTGGCTGAGGTTGGTGAAAACCAGTGTTAAACTGCTGGGCCCGGTTATGCTGCTTGGGTATTTCTCACAGGAGTAGGAACCTCTTCAGTAATCTTATAAATGCAGGTTTCAGAGTAACAGCCGTGTTAGTCTGTATTCGCAAAAAGAAAAGGAGTACTTGTGGCACCTTAGAGACTAACCAATTTATTTGAGCATGAGCTTTCGTGAGCTACAGCTCACTTCATCGGAAGTGAAGCTGTAGCTCACGAAAACTCATGCTCAAATAAATTGGTTAGTCTCTAAGGTGCCACAAGTACTCCTTTTCTTATAAATGCACTGGGCCTGGTTTTCAATCTCAATCTGTCTGAAACATATCGTATGCTCATGTAGCACGATGCCTTTGATATTTCTACCTGTAGACTCAGTCTCTTGTCCTCCTATTGTATTCTCTTCTCATGTTCTTTCTGCATTCTCTCAATTTCCCAGCTGTCTCTGCTGCCTCTGCTTATATTCATCTGAATTAGTTACAGCTTCAGTTCCCTCCCTCTTCACCTCACACTATCGCTCCTCCAAGCATATTTCATTCCTTGATAATTTTTTTTTATTTGCTATCAAGTGTTTGTTCTCTTTTGGCCTCTGAGAACACCACAGGTGAGGCAGGAAAAACATCTCTGGAGCTCATCTAGACCTTTCTCATTCATTGTGAAATTCATCTCAGTACAGAGGGCCCAAGCAAGGTTTCATGTAAATCCAATCTTGAGCTGGCCAAAAAATAGGGAAAATGATTTAATGAAAAAAAATTGAAATTTCAAAGTTGTTTCTATTTCACATGATTTGAAACAGAATAACTGGTCATGTTTTTCTACATTTTTCTGATTTTGTTAAAGATATTTCAAAATTTGGGTTTTCCCCTTTCTCTCTCTTCTCTTCTTCCCCCGACCCAACCCTTTCCCGCACTGAATACAAAGGTGCTGGAACTGGTTGAAATGGTTTCCATTATATACAGGGTTTACAGTTTGGTTCACTGGCTCTTAGCACCCCCGCTATACAAATTGTTCCAGCACTCTTGACTGAATATATAAAATGAGCTGTAGCTCACGAAAGCTCATGCTCAAATAAATTGGTTAGTCACTAAGGTGCCACAAGTACTCCTTTTCTTTTTGCGAATACAGACTAACACGGCTGTTACTCTGAAACCTGTCATAAAATGAATGATGTCTAGTGTAGTAATGATGATGATTGGGGTTCTTTTACTCTTTTAATTTATTATTTATTATGGTACATGGTAACTTTCCCAAACTTTCTCAAGTTTGGAAAAGTTATAGAATGGCAAAAGGAAAAGAGAAAAAAGGAGGATGAAAAAGTAAAAATACCCCGTTTCTCTCCCCCAGAACCAGACAATTCATTTTGTTGTATTCAGTAGCAAAAAGAAATAAAGAGAAAAATGGGGAGGAAGGGTGGAGAAACAAACAAAACATTGAAACTTCAAAATTCAGAATTCAAAAACTTCAAAATTTGAAATTCCAAAAATGTTGGTTTCAACAAAAAATAAAAAAATTGGAAAAACGTAACCCTTTTGTGAAAATTTTTGGCTAAAAGGTTATTTTTCATCAAATAAAAGTCTAAAATGAATTTTTTTTTACACAGTTCTAATCTAAACTGCCATGGAAGGAGCATGGCAGTATTAATGGCATGCAAGGAACAGATGCTTTGGCTCATAACTTGGTTGCAGAGCTGAAGAAGATGACCAAAATATTTGTCACGTTAGTGGGGGAATTAGAAAAAGATTACATCTAGAATCAACTTTTATCTGGATTAAGTATCTTTCCCAGTCACAGTTACCCTTCCCCACAAGTCTCATTACACTGGTTAGATTGTATTGGCTGGGCCACTGATGCTATGTAAGTCTTGGTGCAATAAACAGATGCAGCTTCTTAATATTCATGTTTCCTATTCAATCTTCTTAAAATCCATAGAATTTGGCCACCACTTCAGGGCATTCCCCAATGTGGGGCCAGCAAATGGAAGTGGAGTTCTGCCCTGACAATGGGATATATATGCTATAAAAATAATAATTATTATGCCCGGGAACTGATTTTTCAAGGTGGTGAGATAACTGGACTACAGAGGCGGTAGGGTGGTGATGAGGAAGGACCGAAGATTCACAACATTAATGTAATTTTCTGGGGAAATTCTTGTTCACTCATGCTCCTCTCTGAGTAAAGGTCAGTCCTGTTAAACCTCCTCTAGACCAACAGTGCTCAACCAGGGGTCCGGGGCTTCCTGGGGTCCCATGAGCAGGTTACGGGGGGGAGGGGTCTGCCAAAATAAATTGGGTTTCAGTCCAGGTAGTGGGGGGACTTGGGGAGGGAGTGCCACTTCCACCCCCTGACTCACTTCAGTGGGCCACCCAGACTGTCCGGGTTGGGGAGGGGGCTCAACCAAAAACTGCAGAATCACTGGAGAAGAGAGATCTCCCCCTGCCATTAGAAGGGGTTGCCACACAGCCATTGACTCCATGAGCAGGCAGCAGCTAGCCAAGGAGATACACCACTGCTCTGCACTTCACGGAGCAGGGCCAAATGGAAGGCAGAAATCTTGAGGAGGGGGGCATGTGAATAAAGCATGTGAGGACACATGACCCCCATATGTCACCTCTGATTGGGGGTCTACAGGCGTGTCTATTTAAGGTTAGGGGCCACGAGTAAAAAAAAGGTAGATAACCACTGCTCTGGACAACAGGAAAACAGGAATAGCTATTATGTTTATCTGTCTAAACATAACAGTAATGGTTATTCTGTAGCTATAGGAATGGTCACATAGCAACAGTGGCAATAAGTGATGTCTTCCATCTCCAGCTTGCCAGGAAACCACCTGTTTCATTTCATGTACCTAAGACTGAAAAGTTGGAGACAACATTGGCTCCTGCTTTGCTTCCAATGTCAATTCAAAGCATTGGTCTCAGTCATGAAGGCTGTGAATGGGTTAAAGTCTGGCTATATCAGAGACTACTTCTCCATTTATGATCCACCCAAAAAGGGTCAGTCCTTGGGGGTAATGCAGCAAAACATGACCACAGTGAATCTATAGAGTGCCAGAGATTTTCTGTTAATGACCCTTGTCTGTGGAGTGAATTACCAGAGGAGATAGGACTTAACTTAAAACTCAGTCATTCCTTAAATTTTACATATCACTAAATAACCACCATAATTGGTTCCCTTGTGTGCAGTCTTAGTAGATGCAAAGGGAAACTGTCCATTCATTTCAAGAAAGGTTCCTGCCAAAACATTTTACATCCCATATTTTCCAGGATCCTCCCTATTTCATTAGTGTGATTCTATTTCCTCTCATCATGGTGCTAGGATGTTTGCAGCAAGAGGATGGGGGACACGAAAGATTGTTATATAATGTTTTGATGCAATGCGATAACTCTTTCAATCTATGAGTTTCAGCCTATGTGACTGAATGCTACTGGCCAGGCCAAGAATCCAATGGAGCTTGGCCAGTCCCAAGCCATGTCTAATTACTATTTTCATCATAACTGCAGCATCCAGAATAGGCAGTCCCTGAGGGTCCAGTCTTATGGTTGAGCTGAGGTCATGGGAGGAGGAGAAACTTTGCATGTGGAAAGAAAGTAGTCACAGGGTGATATTATTTTCCTCACTGCTGCTATTGAAGTGGTGAGCAGAATGGTTTCGAGGATACCCCTTTAACAAGAGAATGGATGAAATGCTGGAATCAGAAAATTTCATGGCAGTTGGGGGCTTGGCAATTGGGAATGACTGTTGAGTTGGCTATTGGGAGTAACACTGAAGGTTGGCTGTCAGATCTGGCAGGTGGAAGATTGGCTAGTGGATTTGGTAGTTGCGGGAATGGCCATTGGAACCAACAGTTTGAGGGTTGGTTGTTGGCACCATCTGGCTGAGGAGAGCTGCTCTCATTATGAGGTCCTTCTGGTGGAACAGAAGAGCTGCTGATGGTTAAAGTAATAAGTAGCATGTCTCAGTGTCTTATGACACTATATTCTATGACTGTGTCTCTCTATCTCCCAGCTGAATCCAGCACAGCTGACTACAACAACACTGCAAACCAGTGTCTTATAAGTGTGAGAGTTTTAAGAAAAGGAAATATTGCAAAATAGTTAATGGTCAAAGGAGAGGGAGAGAATAAGATTTTTATAGAACAGGGAAAGAATTATAGGAAAGATTTATGGTGACGAGGGACCAAGAGACACATTTCTGTGGCACTTCCAGTCTTCTGCCTTCTCCAGTGCAGCTCTAGTTAAGTCTCAAACATACATACCCTATCAACCTCTGTACCCAGACATCCAGTTGTTGTGTATGAGAACCTCAAATGAGGAAAGGATGCATAACGGTAACTGTGGGATGATGAGACTGAAAAGTCTTTAGCTACAATTAAGACAAAACACTTTGCAGTCTATGTACTAGGAAAGCATGGAGTGTTTTGTATTATTTTTAACTTGTTTATGATTCCCAGTTCTTTTTTACTCATTGTAGAAACATTTGATTTAACAAACATCTGGTTAAGAATCTGATATTGATTTAGGATACAGTGATCATTATGGATAACTTCTAGTCCAGGTCTGCCCAGCTGACGGTCAATAAAGCAAAAACTTAATGTTTCCCTCCTTTCCTCTCCCATTCCTAACTTTGATGCTTACTGTGGGCAGGTGCTATTGGTTTACATAAGCATTATCTTGGCATGACCTACTGGCAACTCCAGTGCTTTACACAGCAGCACTAAAATTAACTTTCAAAATGTTGCAGAGAAGAAAAAATGTTTCTCTGATGAGTAATGATTATCTTGAAACTAAACAAGCTGCTATGATTCTGGTGCTATTTCTGCAGGCTGGCCTGAGTAGGCTGACCAGATAGCAAGTGTGAAAAATCGGGATGGGGCGGGGAGTAAAAGGAGCCTATATTGAAAAAGCCCCAACTACCGGGACTGTCCCTATAAAATCGAAGTATCTGATCACCCTAGGTCTGAGCCACCTGTGGCAGTATCCCATTGAAGGGGGTGTTACTTGTGCAGTCTTGTGGGAGATGTAAGGGCCCCTCATTCTGCTGTTTGCGGTGCAGCCCTGCAGGGGTGCTGGCCCCAGTTAGGGGCTTAGGAGGCGGAGGGGACTCCGTGGGAGCAGGACTCACTTTAATGGGTTCAGAGGACCGAAGGTGGGTGTTCAGACAGCTGTGTATTTGCTGCTACGGGTGCAGGCCGCCTCTGCAGCGCCCCTAGGGCCCCCTTACAAGAGAGGTGGCTGGCGGGTGCCCGTGTCTCCTAGAGGGGCTCGGCCCCCCGCGGTGCGGTTTGTTTGGGGGTGCCCAAGTCCCGGCGCGGGCGGGGAGCTGCAGACAAGTGATGCCGGGGGGGGGCTCACTTCGAAGCCCGAGATGTCTGGGGGGTGCCCTTTGCCCGCCCCCTGGCGCTGCTCTCATGGCGCGGGGGGGGGGGTATTTCCGTGCTCAAAGGGACCCGGGCCCCCCCGGCCGGCCCCAGTGCCGCGGGGCTGCCGCCGCTCGGGAGGGGCGGCTCCGTGCAGACGCTCCCTGGGTGGGGCGAGTTCCCAGCCCAGCAGTGGCGCCGGGCAGGCAGCGAGCAGCCGCCCTCGCCCTCAGGCCCGACCGGGCCGTGTGGAGAGCGGGCGCGGCAGGACGATACTCGCCCCTCGTAACCCCCTTTTGCACCAGTCCCGCAAACGGCCTCTCGGAGGGGGCGGGGCTAAGGGGACACCGCAAGAGCGACAGGGAGAAGCGTCCAATCGGCTTCCTCGCCCCGCCTCATTGGCCTACTCCCCGCTTCTGGCCCGGGAGAGGTGGCGGCCGGAGCCTATGGGCGCCGCGTTGGGGGCGCGGCCAAGCGCTTGTCGTGAGGGTTGCGGGCCAATCGGGGAGAAGATGTGAGGCAGCCCCGCCCCGCCCCCGCTGGGGCCGCAGCCAATAAGACGCGCGGGGGGGAGGCGGTGAGCTGGGGTTCCGTGTGGAAAGAACAGGGGGCTCGGGTGCAAAGTTTCGTTTCAAACCGTCTGCAAAGAGCGGCCGAGGAGGGGGAGTTGGAGACCGACGCCCCGCTCAGCCCGGCTCGTGCCGCCGCCGCCGCCTCTCGCTTTTCCTTCGCGGCGGTCGTTGCCCGGCCAGGTGAGTGCGGAGCTCGCCGCCGCCCCGTCCCCTCGCAGCGCCCCGCCCTCCCGCGGGCTCACCCCGCAGCCGGCAGCGCCGAGACCCGGGTCCTCTCAGCCTCCCTCCCCTCCCCGCTGGGCGCCGCTCGCCGCCGGGGCGGAGCGCGAGGATGGCGGACAACGGGGCGGGCGAGCCCCGGCAGCCCCGCTACCGCCGGGTGCGGCTGATGTGCATGCTGGCGCTCACTTTCCTCTTCTTCGTGGTGGAGGTGGTGGTGAGCCGGGTCACCGCCTCGCTGGCCATGCTCTCGGACTCCTTCCACATGCTGTCCGACGTCATGGCCCTGGTGGTGGCCCTGGTGGCCGTGCGCTTCGCCCAGCGCACCCGCGCCACCCACAAGAACACCTTCGGCTGGGTGCGGGCCGAGGTGATGGGCGCCTTGGTCAACGCCGTCTTCCTCACCGCCCTCTGCTTCACCATCCTGCTGGAGGCCATCGAGCGCTTCACCGAGCCCCACGAGATCCAGCAGCCGCTCGTGGTGATTGGGGTGGGGGCCGCCGGGCTGCTCGTCAATCTGCTGGGGCTCTGCCTCTTCCACCAGCATGGAGGCGGCGGGCACGGGCACTCGCATGGGGGGAGCCAGCACCACCGCAGCGGCAGCCGCGCCAAATTGGAGCGATCTTCCGGGGAAGGGGATGCTGTGCTGCGCAAGGAGGAGACCAACACGCTGGTGGAGAATTGCAGCAGCAGCACCAATGGGGTCAACCAGGAGAAGCTAGGTAAGCAGTACTGCCTCCGGGAGGAGCCCTCCCTTAGCCTGAGGTCTGGAGGAGGCGGGGGAAATCTCTCCTAGCAAATTTAGGAAGGAGGGGGGCTGGTAGACACTCCAGTGTCAGACTGGAAGGTGGGTAGGGGAGAGGTTCACTTCCTCATTCTCAGAGGAGATGAAGTAGGACAAAGTAAGGGAGATAAGACTTTGTCAAGTAACCTGGTAGAGGGGCAATAACATCCTGGAGTGCGCAGTGGATTTTGGAGGCCACCTGCATGCTGGTGGAAGAAAGGTAAGAGACTCCCCCATTAGAT